ATTTATTCTAGATTTCTGATTTCCGGTGTGATGTATGAAAATCAGTGGACACAGTAATTTGAAAAGCGCGATAATTTGGATTAGTAATGTATATATTTTCCTCTAACTTCTTAAGTAATAAGTAATAATGTGAAATGAATTCATTCTCCAGGTTGCATTTGTAAATCATGATGGGTAAGAATCATTCAGCAAAGTAATATTTGGTAATATGTTAGTATTCTAGAATAAAAAGTAAATAATTCTTGTACTATAGCAGATTAAAAACAAAATCAAATCAAAATGGAATTTTTCCTATTTTAAATTTAAATTTACGAACATTTTTTATGCTTCTTTTTAGATCATATGATCCACGACGATTATTATATTGTTACCTTACATATCTCTAATTCAAGCCGTGTGCACCAATCAGATACAATAGCATCACTTAAATTTTACTGGTTTCAAATTTAATGATTAGTCTATAATTTTTTCAAGGATTCGTGACACTTCGCCTCACCGGTACCATCACGTGATGTAATGACTAATAGTTAAAAGCGTTTTCTTAATAAGCAACAATGATCTCCGTCACTTAGTGTGATACGTATCCTTTTCCAAAGATCAATGACGTAGTATATGCCGATCGCTAAATAAATCTTATTAATTTGTATACTATTATTTAGAAGTCAAATTTAGTTAGTAAAATCTTGTTTTTTGAATTTCTTTTGTACACGTAAATCTTGTGATTTTATTAACTACTTTCAGCAATAACTGGCACAGATTTTAGACATGCTTTAATAATAATACAATTAAATATAGATATTGACAGTTAGTCGGGTTAATTTTATTAATTAGCGTTAGTATTTTAATTATTATGGGATTTATTGTTTCGGAAATATATAACTTTTTAGGAAAAAAGAGAGCTTACATTTTTCTTTCATTTGGTAGGTTTTCACCTTAGAGATCTGTGCGGGCTTCAGAAATCGCTATAGGTATTCTCTTTCGATAGATATCCATATTATGGAAATAGCAATATTAATTTGAAGCTGAATAAAATGGGATGTCATGCATCTAATTCCTGTATTTATTAATATCAGTAACAAAATCATAGTTAATATATTAGATCAGAATTATAAGCTTTAATATGCAATGAATAGACAGATCCTGTCTCTATTACGGACGTAGACATATTCGATATTATCAGAGCATATATGGTAATGGACTAGGAAAACCCGTCTTTGACACTTTTTCAACAATTTTGAGATTTTTGATTCAAATTAAAGTGTCGGTTTCTATTCAAATGTATTTCACTTTTTACCCCTACGTTGATATAATAATTTATCGAGATATTTTAACTTGAATGTAAGCCAAATTTTTGACGTTCTTGTTCTAAAAATAGATTGACAACCAAAGATTGACGACTCATAGACAAATAATCTGCCGAACCTATTTCGAATATTAATAACAGCATGAACAAAATGCTAGTATATAAACAGTAGCATTTAATCAATTATGTAAATTAAAAACCATGTATAGTATCATTTAGAAATTTATTATTAAAGAATTTTTTTAATAACCTATGTACTTAAAATAACTGGAACAATTGCTATTAATATAAAGGTATTTTGACGTAACTTTGTCATAAATGTGTAATACTAAAATATTCGAAAAAGGTAATGTGCATCATTCTCTACACCTGAAAAATCTATAATAATATATAATACAAATTTTATATGTTCCATCGGTCTCACATCATATAACTTTCGCATAATCCGTCATTTACGTAAGTGACGGACTTAATAACTAGTGCAAATAATTATTTATTTTATTAGTTATCATTCATACAAAAATATGGTATACATGAATTACTATCCTGGTCATTATCTCGGATTATTAATATCCATATATAGTTTTGATAAACATAGTTTACAGCGTTCCAATAAAGCATAAACAAAGTGAAATGTTAAATCCATTTTGTATGATAATTTTGTTTCATTTTGATTTTTATTTTGTCGCAGTAACAGACTAACAGACTAACCAAATTACTTTTCGATATCATAACTAATCAAATTAGCTTTCAGATATTATAATTAATCAAATTATTATTATTCAGACATCATGACAGGAAACTTATTCGTAATATATGTACTAATTAATCTGATACTTTATAAATATAAGCATGAGACGATGTATTTGCTCTTGACGAGGTCCAAAAAATTTCTAATTAATATTTTTACACAAAATATTATTTAGCAACAATATACATAATTGTCCAAGATGAGTAAAGATCATTCCGCTGCAAAACGCCGTAACGCGACAATGGCATGTGATTCTTGCAGGCACTCAAAAGCTAGGTGCACTCGCATGCCTGACAGATCTACGTGTACCAGATGTTTTCAAAGACATGATGAATGTACTTACTCTAGAGTACCAAAAAAACGAGGACCACGTCCACATCGTCGATTATTACTTAAGTCACTTTTTGATGAAAACATTGCGATTTCAGAGGCTACAATTAACGAATTGTGTCCACAAACGGAGCATTTTTGTATTCATGGTTGCATCGTGCGGTGACCGTTAAACTCTTATTGTTCGATACCCTTAAGTTGATCCGTTTCGCATTCAAAATTTCGAATATCTCTTCCGGACAAGAGATTTGCATTTCGACAATCCGTTTTAACTAATATATCGCATCATGATTTGTAATTAACATTCGAAAAATCCTCCTCTTCTCTATGCCACTATGCCACTATGCCACTATGCTAGTTATGACCTTTCCCTGCAATTACAACCTATATAAACATTTTCCCATAATTTCAGCCTATGCACACACCACATATGGCCCCATAATGTTAATATATATAAATAATAATAACAATAAAAAGGTGTCTTAGATCGTTTTATGGCCTATAATTTGCATTTCGAAAATCCTGTTGAATATACTATGCCCTTTCCTATAATTACAGCCCACATACACACATTTTCCTATAATTACAGGCTATGCACATATACACGCACACACCACATATGCCCCATAATATTAAATAATAATAAAAAGGAGTCTTAGATCATTTTATGGTCATTTATGGTTTATAATTTGCATGTCGAAAATGCTGATTTATACCCTCTAAATTAGGGCTGTTAATCGGGCCACCGGTCCAGTCTGGTCTTTTATAGGACGGTTCAAAAAGTCTATCGGTCCTAATATAGTTAGAATTAAATTATTGTAACGAACATATATAGCCTAATTTTTTGTGATTTTGTTAGGATTAGATTATGAGATTATGAACACCATTATAAAATATAAAGTATATACGAGTTTAATTTTTAGAGGCTTAGACAATGATAATAAATTTAAATTTTTTTTTGACTTAATATCTATTTTATTATTAACACCTATAAGAAATTGTTTTGTGTTTGTTTTGCGATCTTTTTTAATTTATATGTGTTGATGCGCATTGATTCGTTATTTTGTGATTTTGTGTTGCCTCGTGAGACGCCACATTGCCTATTTTACCAAAAAGAAAGTCACCCGTGAAAAATTTTTATCTTTAACAGTTACGTTGTAAAAGTGCGAATTATGCACACTACTAAAACTAACTAAACCACTCTAACCAGAACACTACAATTAATAAAACCAAACCCTAATAGTGGTAAGGTAACGATTGAGGCGTGGAAAAACTTGGTCCGAGTAACTAGGGTTAATTGGGGTTTTTAGTAATAGTGTCGGATTAGAGCTCTTGATTACGTCACGAATCTCTTTGTTCAGAATCACGGGATTTGGTCACTTATCCCTTCGTTAATACAGATTTTATTTATTGGGGGTAACTATTGGGGGCAACACTAGAGTCGGGAGTTGAGAGATACCAGAGCTATCAAAGCTGGGAGTGTTAAGGACTGTCCTTTATTCAGAGCGAAATAGTGTCGCTTATATACTTATTTTTACATAGTAATGAGATAACAGAGATATCAGATATAACAGAAATATCGAATATACTAAAGATATCGGGGGATACTAAGAATTCTAACTATCTCTAATATATCTACTATCTTTGTGATTCTAAGGATCTCTATGATATTAAATATCCTAGGGATCTCTAAGATTTTTGTGATTCTTGGGATTTTCAGAATTCTTGGAATTTTCGGAATTCGTACCACGTCAGGAGCCGCAGTAATTTCGGGTAATCTACACTTTCACAACGTGCATAATGCTCGTTACGTTACGTGATGCACATAACGCACATTACGTTACGATTTAGATCTGTCAAGTTCCCCAAATGTTTTTATCGAACTCAAGTTGTATTTATGGTAAAAAAATGGGGCTTAGTATTAAGACTAGTATAGGACCTTCTAAATAATTGTTATTATTTACAGCTTAAAATATATGTTATCGTGAACTTGAAGATATATCGTACCATCCCACCATGTTCTTATAATTACATCAAATGTATTCTGAGAATGATCGTAAAATATTTTCCAAACTTAACAAAAACAATATACCAGGAATGGAGTTTCACGGAAGTGAAACGAAGGATATACCAGGAACGAATGTAATGATACCAGGAACGAATGTAATGAATGTATGGTTTGTATGCCATTTGAAATGACTTCTGTCCGCAAAATCTTACATCTTATTGGCTCGCATGACTTCTTCGTCATCCAATCATGCATTTCAATGTTTCAATTCAAGCTCCACAAATTTTTTATTCTGATTGATGTAGTAATCGAATGATTTTAATAGATTCCTATGATATTTTAAAGTACTTGTTTATAACTTGATATATATTTTGTTAATAAAATTACAGCCATCATTTACAGCCTTAGAAGAGCACTAGCGCTAGCATTCACTGTACAAAAGAATCTCAAAATGACCTTAAACCTAACAACTTAGAAGATAAAATATATTGTTGTTTATTGAATAATGTAGAATTGTGCAGTAGATTAAGGTAATTAGGAATGCTTTGTATAAGACTGCTTTATTCGCTACTATATATTAAATAATCTTTTATTGTTAACTGTGTAATTTTAGATAGGCATAAACCCTTTAATAGTAGAAATTCGGTTTAATACTTAAATTTGTTTGACTTTGTGGTGAATTAAAGCAGTGATTGAACCCAGGTGGGTGCTACCAGATTACCCACGGATGAGCGGATAGCCAGGGTCGGATTGTGGTAACCCGAGTAGAAACGAGTGAGTCAACCCACGGGTCACCCATAAGTCAGCCCATATGTAACCCATGGATATAAGCAAGTTTCTAATGATGTTTATTGAAAATTTTAAAAATGCTTAGAAACCGACTTAAAGAAGGTCTGCTGATATTTTTCAATTATTGCCAGCAAAGACGCTTTGAAAGTATCATTTCTGTATTCAACCAGAGATATACGTATGTAGTTTTATAATGTTTATATTAGGCTACACAAAGTTGAATTTTCATTTTGCATCACTTGGCATTTCGAAGTTTGGTCAGGCAGTCAATTTTTTTTTGTTACTAATCTAAATAAATAGACTCATGTTTTCATAAATTCTATGTATCTAAAATTTTAATTTTTAAGGCTTACTTGAAAGCGTAAGTTCTTTAACATTCAAATCAATTAAATTTTTAATATGATCCCAAAATAATACTATCTGGCCGGCATTAGCATATCATCTGGTAGTATTAACTTAATATCTGGCTCGCATTAACATAATTAGTAACTGAGCCACCCAAAAAAGTTTCAAAAACCATGTAATATTGTCAATTCATTTTATGATACGTAATAATATTTATAAAATATTAATTGTTTTAGTAAGTAATTTATTTCTTCTATTCTTCAAAATGAAAAGCTATCGCTCGATTGCCGTAACCCAATAAACAAAAAAAGAATGAAAATCAAAATAAAATCTAAAACTAATCAAGAATAAAATCTAAAAACTAATCAAGAAAATGTATTTGCACCAGAAAACCTTGTAGACTTTATTTTTAATGTTCTTCCCGAAGACTATAACTCTGATTATTTATTTGAGCAAAAAGTTTTTATAATTCTTAATCCAGAAAAATTATTGAAGAAAATATAATGAACCAAATAGCAACAAATGGCTCGATAGTATCAATAAAAACTTTGAGCCATTATATAAATTGGAGGAGGATTATAATCATTTTAAAAAACAATAGAATATTCCAAATGCTTAGAAAAACTGTAATCATAATAATTTCCGGCTGTAATAAATATTATATTTATTGAGTTTTTCGTTTTGTTAGTAGTTTTTTTGTTCATTTACATGAATTTTTTGTGTTCTACATATTTGTCGGGTGGTGATTTTACCCTGGTCAACATGTATCAATATGTATAGAATTTATCGTTATTTGTATAATGTTTCACATATATACTGTATAACATACTTAATATATTTTTATATGGATACGTGAATTTCTATGTACATAGAATTTATTTATTTATTTGCATACCGTTTCGCATATGTATATATATATTTAATAAGAATTTACCTTTTTACCGTT